ATTCATGATTTTGTTTTGAATGTTTAGAATGGAATATTGGCAAACATGCTGTTTATGTGACTGAGTACTAATTAGTGACCATTTGCTGCTTTGCAGAACTGTTTATTTTAAATATCTACATACAAAAAAACCCCACACTAATGAACATTCATGCTTATAAAACCTTGGTACTAAAAGTTGTTTTCAAAAATATGCCAAGTATTAGAAAACAAAAATAAATGTGTATATATTAACTTTTATTTTTCTTCATTAGTAACTAATTAATAGGAACAATTGAACCTTACACTTTATGAAATTGTGGATTAACAGGGAAACTGTATCTCTGTTCTAAGAATTGTCTGTGTAAGATTTTTACAAAAGTAAAAGTGTACAGGTGAATATAAAATCCAGTAGTCTCCCCAGAGGTGGCTCCCAGAGGAGTTCATAGTATTCTTGAAAGGGCGGGGGGGGGGGGGGTGGGGGAGGAGAAGGGCAGGGTGATACTGCTAAGTCCTACCATGTGAAGTATTTCTCTTTGGTTTTGATGGTTTTTGGATTTGATGGAGCCAAACTGTAGCCACCTTTTAAAAGAATATTCTCTGTGCTACATTAGCAACTCAATATAGATTTATCAGATGACTGCTCTGTTTAATATACTATATCAAATGCCACAGGCCTAAAAAAAGGTGTAACTGTGGTATACTCTTTTTTTTTTAAAGGAGTCAAAATTCTAAAACCTGCAAAACTATAGAAAAAATGAATAAAGCATCCGTGTAGACACTGTAGGTATAGGGTACAGCAAATAACAGGTCATAATAACTCAGAGGTCACCTTATGCTTGGTAACTGCAAAAAGCACTTCCTCAAGACAGTGTTATGTAATATGACCTTGAAGAATCAACAGAATTTCAACAGATAGAGCTAGAAGAAACAGAGAACCCAGGGTATTGGAGTCATAAAAACACTGACCCCTAACTCAGTTAGCTGCTTCCACAGGATACAAATTTAATCTGCCAGATAAAAATACTATAATACTTTTCAACCCCTACTTTCTACTCAAAGCTACAGTACAAAAATCCTGAATAAAAAGGGAAGAGGGGTGGTGGAGGAACAAGAACATAGATTTGGGAAGAGATGATTCAAGTCTTTGGAAACCTATTGTATGCCAGGTCAGTCCTCTTGTTATCCACAGTGGTAGATTCCATGGATCCTGTCCTGGGATGCTCTATGATGGCTCGTAGAAAATCCATCCGGCCTGGGAAATGTTGTCCACCAAAGACGATTCTTGGGCCAAGAATAGGCTGCTTAAACTAGCTTCACTGTGGGAGTTGTCTCCACACCCCATAGTAATGTGTGTGTAACTGAAATGAAGTGTTTTACTTGAAAAATGAATATGAAGAATTCCTCAAGTAAAAATAAGAAAGAGAATAATCACATAGAACCAAAAGATACATTACAGTTCTAATCTATGGTATATCTTTATTAAGAGGTCCTTACCTGCAAGAATGTAAGCCTCTAGACTAAAAGAACTATTTGTGTATCCAGAACAATGAAAAGGAAGTATGTAAAAGCAGACCATGATGAAAATGTAGAGCTCCGTGCATGAAGTACTACTATGGAGTCATCATTCATAAGAATGAAATCCTATCATTTGCACTAAGGGTATAATTGGAAGATATTAACTTAAATAAGCCAGCACAGACAAGAAAATGCTGCACATAATCTCATATATTGAAGCAAAAATCCTACCTGAATGTGCTGTCATGACTCACATTTTGCAAACAGGCAGGCTGAGGGAAAGTGGACACAGGGAGGTTGCATTGTGCGTCGAGGGCATCTGTGGAGCAGCGACACACTAGGTATCAGTAACACAAGCAGTTCATACACATCAACTGAAACCTTAAAGACAACAACAAAGAGAAAGGCCACCAACAATTGGGAAAGCATCCAGAAAGTGGAAGAAAATAAAATCTTTATCATATATATAAGCAGCAGACATGCTCAACATCAATAGGCACTGGTATAAACAGGAAGCATTAAATCAGAACTTGCAAAATTTTAATTGAAAATTATTTTTCCTAAACTTGTTCCCATGGTTTTATTTTAATTTTTTTGTTAGCATACAAAAGAACATGCTTCATTGACTATCTTAGTCAGTGTTCTGTTGCTACAGTGAGACACCATGAACAAGGCAACTCTTATAAAGGAAAACATTTCATTGGGGCATGCTTGGGGTTTCAGAGGTTTAGTCCATTATCATCATGGCAGGGAGCATGGCAGCCTGCAAACAGACATGGTGCTGGAGAAATAGCTGAGAGTTCTACATCCAGATCTGCAGACAGCAGGATGAGAGATACTGGTCCTGCCTTGGGCTTTTGAAATCTCAAAGCCCATTCTCAGCGACACACTTCCTTCAAGGCCACACCTTCTACTCCTTTCAAATAATGCCACTTTCTGGTGACGAAGCATTCAACTCTATGAGCCTATGGTGGGAACATTCTCATTCCAACTGCCACACTGACTTCCATCAATAATATATTAACTTCAAGAATTCTAAAAAGTAATGAATCAATGTTATAATATTTTATGTATGTCAGAAACTACATGAATAATCTTGAAAGCAATAAAATATCATGTCTTTAAATTTTATGCTATGTTTCCCAAATAATATTTGTTACTAAAAGCAATAAACTATGTCTTTTCTCACAAAATCGTATAAAACCATTGTTAGATTATGACTATTATTGAAATAATATCTATGTTTCTAAAATTGATTTGCAAATGGTTTAAAACTGTATGTGTGTGTATATATACAATATAATATATAATGATACAGGTAGGCAAGATGCCAGCAATATGCAAATCAGCAGATAAAGGATAGGGGAGTTTCTGTCATGGTATCATTTTACTTTTTTTGTACAATTATGATTTTCACCTTCTGCCCCTAAAACAAACTAGGCTGGGGAGGAGATGGAATAAAAAAGAAACGGGAGCATGAAAAAGAATCTCTCAAAAACCCTCACAGTAGGAATTCCTGAGGAAATCTTCAACAAAATGGTGAAATGAAGAAAAAGATGAATCTGTTATAAGGGAACTCTGGTAAAGAGGTCTTAGGAGCCAGGCATGGTGGGTCACGAGACAGAGGAATTACTATGAGTGTGAGGCCAGTGGGTGCTACAACAAAGAGAAATTAGAAAACCTGTCCGCTTCCAGGCCTAGCAGCCCATCTATGTGAACCAGAGGGCAACAAAGTAATATCGGAAGGGGCTGAAAGAGAATTGTACATCAGAGAAGAACCAGAAACATAATTCCTACCACCTTGTTGACACAAATCCTTCAGTGTTTTTCAAATAATTCTTATATAAATCCTTTATTGTATTATAAATGATTTTTAATTGCAAAACTTATTTAATGAATACTACTCTGATGACTTCGGAATATCTCATTTTAAAAAATTAAAGAGTAGTTGAATTAAAATACTTTAAATATCTCATAGAAGAACATATATTTCACTACAAAAATATAATGACATCAAAACAAATGAGGTAATTAAAGACATGGACTTTAGACTCAGAATATGTTATGTGTAAATAGTAGCATCAAATAGAGGAAAACTGGATGGAAGAAAGAAAAAAATTAAATTTTCAAAAATTAAGAAAATATTTCCTTCAGTGATAAAATACTAGCCTTCAGATTACTTGGCTTAAAAAATTTAATCAAGATGTGTGTGAAAGTTCAGCAATTTTTAAAACAATTGCAACTTTAAGTTTTAATTTCTGGTGCAAAAGAGATTTGTAAGTCTCCAGAGTGAAGTGATGGTATGAACGGGTTGGGTTGGGTGGAAGCATGTTTCGGAGAGAAGATGGCTCCAGCAAAGATCTAGAAGCAGACCTGGGGAGCAGTGAAGATGAATGGATGGGGTGTAAAGTCAAGGACCACAAAGGGGAAAAAAAAAAAACAAAACCTGGAGCACTCACAGAGTGATTGATAGCTGCAACATATAATTGCTTGCTTGCTTGCACACTTGAGAATGACAAATCTCCAGTCATCTTGTCGGAGTAATTTAATCAGACTTGGCACACAACGTTACTCAGGAGATTTAAAAACAATAAAGTTTACAACAAACTAAAAGCACTTTATTTAATCACTTTAACCTCTCATCTTTTCTGTGTTCATTAATTTATTTATTTACTTTTGCAGTAATGACCCCCACACACTGTTTTATCCCTGAAATCTGATCACAGCTTAAGGATACTATACTTTAAGTTTTCTGTCTTAAAAATAATGATAATTAGAAGAAAACAGTACTTTGAGTTGGATTGCCACCAATACTTTATTCCACCATTAGGTTCGTGTTACTAGATACTCACAATTTATTTTTCTTAGATTTATTCATTTGTGATTATGTCTACGTGTGTGTATCTTTGTGTGTGGGTTTGTGCACATGACCTCAGTTACCCACTGAGGCCAGAAGAGCCCCCTAGAACTTGAGTTATGCCCAGTGTGGATGCTGGGACATGAACAGAGTCCTCAGTGAAAAAGAGCTACCTCTCTAGCTCCTAAACATAATATTTTGAAAAGGAAGGATTACATTTAATTTCTTAACTGTTCTTTATTATATTTCAAAATTGTAAATGAATTTTAAAATAGACATTTCTGTGTCTTTGATAGACTGAGAGTTTGACAAGTATTAAATGTTTTTATATATTTCATTTTTTAAAAATTTTATACAATATATTTTGTTCATATTCTTTCCCCTCTCTTAACTACACTCAGATCTACCCGCTTCTTACCCACCTGACTTCATATTCTTTCTTTCTCTTAAAAAAAAAAGCACAAAAGTTGCAAAAAAGGGCAGAAAAAAACCTACAATGTTTTTTTATTATGTGGAAATTGTAAATATAGTCAAATATAACAAAGAATGGAAATTAACCCAAGCTTATGGGGCATAAATCCTTAGAAAACAAAAACCAATCCAAGCAGACTGATTTGTAAAAGTTACTGTAATGCTTTATATTTCAGGGGTACGATGATGGCTATGGGGGTGAATACGATGACCAGACCTATGAGGCTTACGATAATAGCTATGTGACCCCGACACAAAGGTAAGGCGTTTGCTGGCTGATCACATTTTCAGGTGTTACACGGCTCTGTTTTGTTTCATACCTGTGAATTATAGTTATGTGAAGGTTTCAAGCCGTTAGTTTATATCCATTACCTTTCTAAATTATGAAAATATTCACTAGACCACAAGAGGTAAATATAGTCACTCTGGTGGTAACTCCGTAACTGCAAACAAGGGAACAATAGCATGTAACTTGAGACAGGCAGGTTATCATACCAATGAACTCATTAAACAAGCTTATACTTAACTAAGCACTACTGCTTATAGAAATTAGTTTAATAAACTTGTAATTTAGTTGACAAAACAGGCATGTGCTCAATGCCTGCTAATCTGTAATTTTTATTTGTAAAGTAAATCACAAGGACATGTTATTGAAAAGCTGAAAATAGGCAATTAAAAAATACTCCTGGAATAAAAAAAAATCCTTTTCTTTCTCATCAGTATCTCTAAAATGTTGAATATCTCTTTACACTGACCTAGAATCAGTGATGTTGATAAATTTGTACTACTTGAAAGTCAGATGTATTAACACATTGCTTACAAATGATAAAACTTACCCATTTAGGGCACCCTTGTGTGAGGTTCACAAATGTCATCTACAGTGTAACCAGCTCCATAGATAACTTATCTGTAGAGAATCCTATTTGCCTGAAAGTCATTCTTTGTAATGATGGTTCTTTATAATCAACATTGCCCTCTTCCTTCACACACTATGGACTCCATGAATTGGCTTTTAGCTGTACACTTGACCTTTCTACAATGCCATGTAAAGAAGCAATACAACAGCCTTTTTTTCTTTTTTACATGAATGCTATTATGTGTTTATTGTATGAATTAATGAGATTCACTGTGGCATTCCTGCCAATTTATTTATCATGTCAATTTATGGTTTCTACCCTCTGCCCTCGCCCACCTTCCTTCTCTCTCCTCATTTCCTGGTTCATTTCCAAACCCCAATAGACCCTCTTCCACTTCCAGGGCCTTTTTGTTGTTATTACAGTTTCTCCTCTATCAGAAAATAAGCAATATTTGTCTATGAGTCTGGCTTTTTCCCACTTGATATGATGATCTCCATTTCCATTCATTTCCAGGCATGTAGCAGGATTTCATCCCTCTTTGTAGTAAATAAGACTCCAATGTATATGTACACACACAGCACTACTGATATGATGAAACAAAGGAAAAGCCTTATTTGGCTTATACTTCCATATTACAGTCCATCACTGAAGGAAGTCAGGACAGGAATTCAAGAAGGGCTTAGAGGTAGGAGCCGATACAGAGGCCACAGAGTAGGGCAGGGGTGCTATTTACTGGCTGGTTCCCCATGGCTTGCTCAATATGCTTTGTTACAAAATCCAGGATCACCTATCCAGGTATGGCCCCACCCACAATGGACTGGGCACTCCCCCATCAATTACCAATTAAGAAAATGACCTACAGCCCCATCTTGTGTAGGTATTTTCCTACTTGAGGTTCCCTTCTGATGGATGACTTTACCTAGTATCAAGTTCACATAACAATATCTAGCATACCCATTCCTCTGTAGATGTGCAGCTAGGCAGAATCCATCATTTAGCTATTGTACATAAAGCCACAGTCAAAATGAGCAGATACCACTTTTCCGTGATGATTTCATTTCTTTGCAAATGTATCCAAGTGTGGTGTGGCTAAAAAATATGGAGGCTTTTGGTTTTGGAAAATGAGGAGTCCCTATACAATTCTCAGTACTATGTTAAATTTCTACCAACAATGCATACACATGCCCTTTGCTTTACAACCTTGCCAGAATGTTTTTATTTTTGTTTTTTCTTGGATAATTTTCATTTTCACTGTTGTGAAATGAGCTTCTGATGTAAAACGGATTGGTATTTCTCTGATGGCTAAGACTGTGAACTATTTTTTTTCTTGTATGTATTGGGCATTTGTGGTTTTCTGCTCTTTTTTGAGAAGTGTTTATTAGAATCATTTGTACATTTTCCTTGGATTGTTTATATTTTGATCTCTATCTGATTTGGATATTGGTTATCTGTCAAATAAACAGCTAGCAAAGATACTCTTCCATGTTATAGGCTTTTTCTTGCACTCTTAGGACTATTTCCTTATGTGATAAAGGAAAAAAAATGTTCTTATTTGACAGAATGCTGTCAAACTCATTGCCTGTGCTGGGATCACGAAGTGAATTTCTCTGCTTTCCTCTGAGAGTGTGAGTTTCAAGTCTTAAGTAACATCTTTAACATATTTTGAGTTAATTTTTAGACAGGTTAGGAGATGGGGGTCTAGTTTCAGTTTTCTACACGTTTCTCTAATTTTCCCAACACCATTTGCAGCCAATGGTGTCCTTTCCCCAGCTTATTCCACAATGTATTTTCAGTACTTGTGCTATGACTGGGTGGGTTAAAGAAGTGGTGATATATTTCTTGGTACTCGGTCCTGTTCCATTGGCCTACGTGATCGTTTGTATGCTACAATCTTGTTATTTTTTGTGAAAATTCTAGCATGGATCTTTTAAAATAAGATTACTTTTTCTAGTACTATGAAGAATATTGTCCTAGTTAGAATTTCTAGTGCTGTGATGAAACACCATGAGGAAAAGCAACTTGGGGAGGAAATGATTTAGTCCATAATCCAGGGAAGTTAGGGCAGGAACTGATGTAGAGGCCATAGAAGAGTGCTGCTTCCTAGCCTTTCCCTCGAGGCTTGATTAGCCTGTTTACTTATATACCCCAGGACCGACTGCCCAGGGGCGGTACCACCTACAATGGACTGGGTCCTCAACAGCAGTCACTAATTGAGAAAACACACCAAAAACTCCCACCGTAGGCCAGTCTGGTGGGAGCATTTCCTCAACTGATGTTCCTTCTTCCCAAATTATTTTAGCTTGTGCCAAGTTGACATAGAACTAGTTAGCACAGATATCATGAGCATTTTGATGAAGGTTGCATTTATCTGTATGTGTCTTTTAGTAATGTGCTATGTTAAATTTTTTCCACATTTTAATGCAATATTTTTTATAAATTCTTTATGACTTCCATAGATGTATGCAATGCATTTTGATCATGTACACCTCCTACTCATCCCTCTAAATCATTCTAGAGTCACCCTTACTCCTAATCCAGTTTTTATTTTTTATTTTTATCTGGTGAGTCCAGTTTGTGTTGTCCTTATACTTATGGGTGTAGGGTGTGGGGCCATCCTCTGGAGTGTAGTCAACCTATTAGCAAATGGCAGTTGTTCATTCTTGGTGTCGATGAGTTCTCTAACCATGGGTACTTGGCCAGATTTACAGTAGTACTAATTAAGTGATTTCTCCTATGTAGCCAACTTTAAATCTAATCAGAAACTGTTTGTCTACTCCCTGAACATTCAATTCACTGTTGTACTCATAGGCATATGTTGCCCTATTGAGCTCTTATTGTAGCTCACAGTGTTCACAACTGGGTCAGACTATTGATAACATTTCCTCAAAAGCAGCATAAGTAGCAAGCACTTCCCAGTGCTATGAAAACTAGAGAACAGGGAGGAAGGTCCCTGGTTCTTACCTCTATTTCTCCATGTCTTATGACCAAAGTGTGTGGTATCTTCAGCAGAATTCTACCATCAAATTACAGTGGACAACCAAAAGAAATGGTCCATACAGCCAAGTGGTGGCACACGCCTTTAATCCCAGCACTAGGGAGGCAGAAGCAGGTGGACCTCTGTGAGTTCAAGGTCAGCCTGGTCTACAGAGCAAGTTCCAGGACAGGCTCCAAAACTACACAGAGAAATGTAGTGGGTGGCTGTTCCAGCTTTGACCTTGAAACACTGCCCCTAGAGTGACAGCAGGTAACTGCCACACCTGTCTATGACCTGCCCCTGAGGCTGACCTGCCCCTGGGGTGTGGCTGAGAGGGAGCCCCTTAAGAACTGAGGTACATACATGTTTGGCCCTTCTCTGTACTTCGTGGTCCTGTAAGTTGGATGGGACACCAAGCCAGAGTGCTCTGCTGGATGGTACCCCATCTCTGTACCCCATCTCTGCTGGATGGTACCCCATCTCTCCCAGATTCTGTATCCAACCCTTATTGGCTGTAAGTTATCCCAGAAATAAACCTCTCTTGATTACCAGGTAAATTACATGGAATTGCCTGGCTCCCAACGTGGGCCTCGAACCCAAGACCCTGGGATTAAGAGTCCCATGCTCTACCGGCTGAGCCAGATAATTACATGGAATTGCCTCGTTAATTACGGTAATAACTTGAGACTCTTAATCCCAGGGTCATGGGTTTGTGCCTCATGTTGTGCACCAGAAAAAATCATATCTTGAAAATAAACAAACAACAACAACAAAAGAAATGGTCCATACAATAGCCTGAATTGTTTGAGGTCTCTCCAAGATACTCCTTAACAACAATCTGAGGGGTGGTAACCTAAACCCAGCATTGGACACTTTTTCTCTTAAAGCAGTCTCTTAAATTGGGATAGTTTATGCCGATGTAAGTACTTTTACTAATTAAAATAAAGATGTCCCCAAATTAATTATAATAATTCTAATCGTGTAATTTGTAATAATCATAAGTTTCTGTTTTGTCAAATATCATTCAATCACTCTTAATACAGAATCTTGCATTAGAATTCATACATAATTCAAGGTTACCCTGGCCTGAATAATGAGTTCCAAACCAACCAAGGCAACATAATGAGACCATGTCAAGAGAAAGAAAGACAGGAGATGAGAAAAAGAGAGATAGAGACAGAGAGAGATGAGAATTGGAGACTTTCAATAAAGAGATTTTCAATAAATAAATGTAAATAAATACATCAATGAAAGAAGTGTTAGTTTATAAAATTGCATGGGGATTTTAGTGTAACATCAGTATGAACTAGAGATAAACAGATGAACACTGGAAAATTTATTGCCAAATGTATTCAATGCTTAACCTTACATTATTTTTATTAGTGTATCAATATAAGAAGAAGGTATGATTCACAATTCAGCTGAGAACACAGATCAGTGATAAAGGGCCTGTGTAGTTTGCATAAGGCCCTCAAATCCATCCCAGCACCAAAGTCTAGTAAATAAGTGAAAGACATGTGTATACATAACAGTACAGAAACAAGAGGGACAATACTTAATTTTCAAATGATAATATAATATTTGCTGCTAATGATTTGTTTGAGAAGTCATTTGTAACTCTGTATATTCATATACTTAGAGGGTGAAAAGTGTTAGAAATTAGGTGTGAAATGAAGTTCATTTTCTCAAGAATTAGTTCAGATTTTTTCTAAGATAATTACCTAATTAAACTATTAATGTAAGACTTTCTTTAATTTTTAAAAAAACTTTATTATATAAAAGAAAAATGCTACAAATAAAGGACATCATATATGAAATTAACCAGACCCAGGGACTGTGAAACTCAGTGATCTTCCAGTCAGAGCAGCCACTCGTCATGGAAGCTGTGGGGCTTCACAATGGAGTTTATGCTTTCACTATTAAATATATTTTATGCACTACCAAAACAAAACAAATATGACAGAATAGAACTAGAAAAACTAATGTAAGACTTGAATTAAAGGAGAGAAAGAAATAAAGTAAAAAGAAACATACCAACATAGGACTGCAACATTTATAAACAATCTGAATGTTTTGGTAAATAATACAAATTATATGTGTTTTGTTAAAGCCAAAAGTCAGAAGATAGACTGATATTGAATTCTGAAGTCAAAATAGGAAATGTGTAATCTATCAGAAACAAAATGAAATGGTCGTTGGAATGTTAGTCAGTAGGTGAATACAGAGTCATAGAAATTATGAAGAGGAAGCCATGTGGTTCCTTACAGGAATCATTGTGTCATCCTCAGCAGAGGTTCCAGGGGAGTTCACAAGGTAACAACTGTAAAAGGTCACCCGGAGTTCAGAAGATGGAACAGCCTAATTAATCCCTCATTGTTTTGTAAGGCACCATGACTTCTGAAAATTTTCAAATGTATCAGGAAAGGTTCTGTGATGAAGACTGCTCAAGAGACGGCATAATTGAATGACATTAATGACTGCTGAGGATGATAATGTTATAAAGAATCTCCATCTTTCCCCTTTGATCTCCTAAGTCTAACAGGAAAAGTAAAAGAATAGATCTCAGAGTTATTATGCAACCTCCAAATTACTGAACTACAACTGAAGTTTCCAGGGTGACTCGCTTTCTAAAAGCCTTTGCCTTAAAACCAGTTATACTATGTGGCCAACACCTTTAATTGGACCAAACAATCTTTTATGCCATTTGCCACATTTTTATCTACTCCTGGAGGCATTAACATTATCCGAGATTAAGTTTTTAAACTCATACAAGTTCATGAGATTTTTTTGCTAACATTTCACAATTGAAAAATCTATATCAAAACAAATCATAGATATAGAGAAGTAACTTATTTATTTAGATATGAATGGTATTGTCACAAATAAAAATTAAAAGGTCAGGTCTGAAATTTTGATTCTAACAGCAGCAATTTAATTTGGATGTGAAAGGCTAAGGTTTTATAATTTCTTAGTATAAAAGATCCATCCATCTGAATATCTATAATGGTCAGGCATATACAATGTGTGGGGTGCAGAATGGAAGAGGCACTTGAGGTAATTTTAGGGAAGTATAACAAGGGGACTGGTGATATTTTATTTGTGCACCCCAAAAAAACTTATCTGGGGATCAGAGGACAGAGCCAGCCACCAAATTAGACATAGAGGTCAGGCATGGCTGCACACACCTTTAATCCTATCACTCTGGGAGGCAGAGATCCGTCTGGATCTCTGTGAGTTCAAGGCCACGCTGGAAACAGGGCCGGGTGTGGTGGCACACGCCTTTAATCCCAGCACTAGGAAGGAAGTAAGATGGCAGGGCACAGAAAGGTATACAAAGCATGCGTAAACAGGAAGTCTCTCTGCAGGCTGAGGAGTTAGTAAGGTGAGGTTGGTTGTGGCTTTTCCTATTCCTCTGATCTCTCAGTTTTCACCCCAATGTCTGGCTCTGGATTTTTGGGGTTTTTTTTTTGGTTTTTGTTTGTTTGTTTGTTTGTTTGTTTGTTTGTTTGTTTGTTTGTTTTTTCGAGACAGGGTTTCTCTGTGTAGCTTTGCGCCTTTCCTGGAAC